CTGTCCCGTGATTTCTAAGATCTTTTCATTTGGCATTCTATCGCCTAAATTCACACCAATGACTGTACGTAGGCATTTCATATAAAAGGTGTTTATTCTACGTTCATGTGCACTTGTGATAGACCACATTTCACTTCCATACAATAAGACACGGAGAACACAGGCACGAAAAACTTTTAGTCTCGACTTGATTGAAATGCTTTCTGCTCCAAATTACATGTCTTAACATACTGAATGCAGTTGCAACTTTACTCAGTCTTGTACTGATTTCACTATCTGATCTTTGGTCTCTTGTTACGCTACATCCTAGGTAGGTGAAAGAGTCAACAGTTTCGATCTTTGATTCCGAATTGTGATGTCAAATTCAGGAAAGACCACGTCTCTGTCTTTTAAAAGCTTTCTGTTATGATCTTCTACGAACTGTTGTAAAGTCATAATACATGTTTTCTTGACACTCATTGCCAGTGCAAATTCTTGAGTAACTTTTTCAAAAGTTCGTATGAAAGTCTCAAGATCGTCAGCTGTTTCACACATTGCCACTAGATCATCAGCATAGTGTAAAGCCAAAATATTGAAATTCTCATAATTTTCACGTGCACCATGATAAAAATCATTACTTCCATACGAAAACTGAACACTATCCACACAAACACGGACCTGTATATGTTGCATGATTCGAATTCACACAAATATAAACAACGACTGATTAAAACCTTAGTCAGTAAAAATATATTTAATAATGAAAATATGTTCTACTCCTCCAAGTATAAAAACTGAACTTGATCGTTTAAAAGTAATTCTAACATCAAATAGCTATCTCAACATATAATTAAAGGAGGTATTAGAGAAGGAGAAGTCATCACCAAACGTATTCTATGTCAACAACTGGAGTCTCAGTCCGCGACAACACATACTATCTTTTTCACGTTGAATTATTACAGCCTAGAAACTTTTATATATTCCCAAAGAATTGAAAAGATTTCTCAAAAAAGTATTATCTAATGTCACGCTGAGTTTTGCATCCAAGATACGCTCTAAATTAAGAGGAATAGTTTTACTTATTCAGAAGAAGCAGAACCAAGATAGGAGAGTGAGAAAGTTAGTTTATAAAGTAAATTATACAGATCGTAATGAACATCATGTCGAGGCAACGAATCGTACACGACATACACGAATGAAGAAACATAAACCAGTTATCAAAAAAATGATGTTAAGTTAGCTAACCTTAGAAAGCAATTGGAGCCGGCGTTTAATAAACGCGAGTCTGTTTACACATCAAAGTTATGATAAAGCTTTTTAATGACATTAAACACCATCTCAGAGTTTTGAGATGCTGAATTTTTTGTCCACTGTTTCATCATCATCATTCGGCTACGAACAATCGAGGTTTGCAGGCGACAACAATCTTGGACCAAGTCTCTCTGTTCGCGGCAGCCTTTCTAACCTCGTCGACCGATGGTGGTGTATCGTTGTTAATTAGCCTCGCAATATAATCTGGATACCTTAGACAGGAGTTACTCCGCTTGCGCTTGCCATGACTCGGTTTCCGTGAGTAGAGAGCGTACATGTTGATAAATTTCCTCGCATCTCTTCGAAGGCAATGACCGATGAATCGCAATTGGCGTCGTTGCCCTGTTTGCACCAGAGATTCCTGTCTGATCTTTTTGTAGACAGTGGCATTCGATATCTTGTCAAGACGCTTGATATTGAGTATTACTCTGTAACAGCTGGTAGCAAACTGCTCTCAAGCTTGCAGGTGATGATCCAGCTCTCGCAGTCGTATAGGAGTATTGAAAGACACGAGGCTTGGAAGATGTTGATCTTGAGACGACTTGGAATTGTCTCTGAGCGCCAGATATCTTTCATTTTTCAGAAGGCTCCCCAGGCTTCGCCTTTTCGCACTTTGATGTCGGTCTCGCTCGACAACATCATTGAACCGAGATATTTGATATCGACCCACTCGATTTCGATTCGAGTTTAATTGTGACGTTGTTGGCGGTCAGATTAGTCGTCGCTTGCGTCTTCTGGATGTTGACTTGGAGGCCCACTTCGCTAGCGTATTTGGCTGTTGAAACGAGCTGCGCTTGAGCTCTCTCGAGTGTACTTTCTAGGAGAACTGTGTCGTCGGCGAAGTCGAGATCGTTTATTGCTGTTGCTTTGTGCCGAGTAGACTGTCGCAGATTGGTGACGAAGCCATGCTCACCCTTTTCGTTCGTGTGGTCCAGCTCAGCATTTCTCATGACGTAGTCGATCACGATGATGAAGAGGAAAGGTGCTACGGTGTCTCCCTGAAGGACGCCGGTTGTTACATCAAATTCTTGAGGCAGATTACCTTCCACTAAGACTGCGCTAAGAGAGGTGTGATAGATGGCTTTGATAGCCTGTATAATCTTGTTCATCACTCCGTAGTGCCTTAGTATGTTGAACATCACCTTCCTGTTGATTAAGTCGAACACTTTCTTGAAATCGACAAATGTGACGAAGAGTGGCAATTGTTTGTCGGTTGCGCTTTCGAGGAGCCGGCGAACGACGTGTATCTGGTCGATACAACTCGTTCCTTTCCTGAAGCCTGCTTGATTTACTCTTAGAGTTGCGTCGACTGGCTCTCGTATTCTATTTAGGAGGATCCGATTGTATTTTTTGGCTGCAACTGACAGTAAACTGATACCCCTGTAGTTGATCATCAGGGATAGGTTACCTTTCTTTGGTAGCGGTACGATGATGTTAGTGTTGAACTGCTTGGGCGCCTTTTGGCTTTCAAATATGTCATTGCATATGTCGCGAAGTCGGTTTGTTGCTCATTTGCCGCCGTACTTGAGCGCTTCAGGTGTTATTGCATAGTCGCAGCCGGGAGATTTCCCGCTTTTTAGTTGTTCAACTGCTTCGAGTGTTTCCTCGATTGCGATGGGGCCGACGTTGATGGCTAGGTCTTCGAGTGCTGGCTGGGTTGTTTGCATGTTTTTTGACGTGTTTGATTTAACGTTGAGCAGGTCTTCAGAGTAGGTCTTCTACTTTTCATGAGTTTGGCGGCAGAGTTGATCTTGGTGCCGTCTGCTCTTTTGACCTTAGATATGCTGTTGTTTCGATGCTTGCCACTTATGTCGTTTACTAAGGTCCACGTCAACGCTGTTGTCCACTAAGGTCCACGCAAACGTTGTTGGTATTTACGATAAGTTGTATTGCAGTTTTATATTTTCTTAACTCACAGTTATTTGATACTGCTGTACCCTCTGGGTTTCTAACAATCTTCGCTCTGGAAAACCGGTTTTCCAGAAACTAGATTTCCAAAGACCCGTGAACAGCTCTCATTGCAATATTCAGGATCAGCACCATCGATTACTGTTTATGCGCGTATGTCTTTTGTAGAAAAAGCAAATTTTCACTTCTCAATGTTCTCTCGTATGACGGTACCGTATGCTAACGGCTGATGAAAAACAAAAACCATAGCAATCAATTGTCAGCTTTCGCGTCGTTTAAACAATGGCGCGATGAACCAATTATCCATGTAATTCCTCCAATTCTTTGTTTACAGAGAATGAGGACGTATTGATTACACGCAATATGTGTAAATTTTAGCACCACCTCGATATAAGCCATTCAAAAGTCAAATGTGAGTTTTGTGATGAACAGTTTGACTCATCCAGCCAACTGATTGATCATAGAAAGGAAACATGCTCTAAGATAGAAACGGCTTGTCAATTCGCCAAATACGGATGCGCTAGTAGCGTAAGTATTTAATGTGCGTTATGTATATGTAAATTTTTGTCGTTTTCTAAATATTTAGTTCATTCGAAGTGAATTCAGCTCACATTTATTATCAGAACAACATCAGGTAGTTATGTTGTTTCTCATCCAAGAAATTCAATCTAAAACTGAATTGTTGGTAAACAGCAGGCACAACACTCATCCACTGACAGTAAATAGTAAAAGTCCTTTTTCAAGTACACTCAAGCAAGAAAATGTTGAGTCTCATATTATGGAATATGAACTGGTGGGTTCTCAGAGATTCAACCGTCCAACTAACGAAGCGGTTCAAACAATGTACAATGAATTAAAAAAATGCTATGATACGTTAACGGTTTTGACACAAGGCATTCATGCATTATCAGATGATACAAACAGATTAAGTACCGAATCACTACGTACGAATAATCTAATACAAGGGGTTCTAAATGAATTAAACCAAATTAAACTATCCATTAACGAAAAAGATTTGTATTCAGCTGGAATGGCATCGAATCAAGGGATGCTACAACAAGAATTGTCAAGCATCAAACAAAAAGTAGAAGAAGCTGAGTTCGTTTCCTGTGATGGTACATTAATATGGAAAGTAACGAATGTGTCTGATAAAATTGCAGACGCACAGTCCGAAAGACAAACATCCATTTATTCGCCTCCCTTCTACTCCTCACCAACCGGGTACAAGATGCGAGCACGGTTATATCTCTGTGGAGATGGAAACGCTCGTCGTACGCACATGTCAGTATTTTTTGTGCTCATGCGAGGCGATTATGATCCTATACTCAAATGGCCTTTCAATCACAAGGTCACCTTCTCTTTAGTTGATCAATCAGGTCAGAATCGACACGTGATCGACTCATTTCGACCAGATGTCAAGTCAAACAGTTTCCAGAGACCGCGCTCAGAGATGAATATCGCCAGTGGGATCCCCAAGTTCTTTCCTTTACCCATGTTTCAACAAGATGGCAACAACTATGTTCGAGACGATATAATGTTCATTAAAGTGATTGTTGACTTTGCTGATTTGCCAAAAATGATATTACCTTATGCACTTAACTTAAATCCGGGTCTGCCATTGCAAGTTCAACAACATTGTATTAACCAAGAAATTCAAAAACGGCAACAAGCCCCTACAATGCCTGCAGCTGTCCCGCCGCCAACAACAACCTCAGGCAACTGAGACAGAGAGACAGGACATCGAAAAATAATAATTCAGTTTCACATTAAAAGTAAAGTGAATGGTTTTTTTAAAGTTGTAGTTGACACGGCGAAAAAACAAAACCAAATAAAATAATAACTATCAAAAAAGGAGATAAACCGTGGTTTACAAATGAATACAGAGGTCTTCGGAAAAAACCTAATCGTTTCTATGCTATTCACGTGAAAAATCTGACACGCTAGAACAAAGCGAAATATGAAAATACAGCAAAACTTTTGGATCTCGGTTGTTCGTCAGTGATTATAATCGTGTTAATCAAAATCAGAATTATTCTACACCATGGTATAAATTAATCAGTTATGCTCTTGAATGTAGAAAAGCATTGCAGATAGCAGTTCTTTGAGACTTTAACAACACATAGGTATGCGATGATAGTAAAAAGGCGGATTATTTAAGGATATTCCTCTCCTCTTTTGGGGCTTTCCGTAGAAATTGCCAAAAAATCAATAAAGAATTTCTTTTGCCTAAATGAGAAATATCGTACTGATTTTGTTTAAAAGGTTAAAAGGACGCATTTTTCTTTTACACTTTCAACTCGATCACAATGGTTAACTTTCCTCATTAATATCAAATAAAATATAACAATATTAATTTCATAACAATCATTTTAAATTGAAAAAAAAGACCGTGATTGAATAATGTAGAATTTGTGAATCCATCATAAATATTTGTATCACAGATTTTGTTGCATTATTAGAGAAATCATGTAAAAATGGTTTATTTGCACCCAAGTAAGCAGCTGTATCGTCATTAAATTGACGATTTAACGTAGCCCCAGCAGTTCCTGTGCAAGCATTTGGACTAAATTGAATATATGGATTAATTGATGTAAGTTACGATTATTAACGTTCCATGTTCCATCTGCTAACATAGTTGTAGTCAAAAAAGTTGTTCTTGACAACAGCTCCCAGTGACGAGAAATAGATCAAGGTTTTCTGATGAAACGTAGTCTTTAAGAGAGGATTTGCGGTTTTCTTTACATAAAGACCGAAGATATGAAAAATAGCAGCTGAGGAACAAAACCGTCGCTCAACTTAGGTAACGAAGAAAATCCCGATAGCCAATTTTTATAAAATGGCCGAAATTGATAGGAAATTAAATTTGAAGCAAAACAAACTGACGCAAAGTTTCTGCCATACTTCAAATGCTGAAACATTGCAAACAAATCTTCTGATATCGGAAAAATCGCGTTTAAGGTACTGTTACGTTGTATCGTGTTAGTCCTGAGACACAAGAGCAGCCTCGCGAAGGTTGAATTATACTCAAGTTTTAGTTATCTATCGATCTCCATCATTTTTAGAAAATTTGGTTTTGCGAATGCTTTTTAGATTGCTGCTTTTCTGGAAAAACTTCTGTACAGTAATCTCAAAGGTTTTCTAAGTTGGATTCAGCTTTATCACTAACATGAAAATACAAGTTTTCAGCTTGTTGCAGCGAAATATGGCTGAAATATACCACAATCGCTCGAAAGATTTGGGATCAAAATATCATCTTTTTAATGTCTTTTGAATTACTTTGTGAAAAATGGAAAATGTAGACACACAGATTTTTAGCTTGTGAGACAGCAAGTCTTTTGATATAAGAAACAAGTGCTTATCTCTGAAACACTGGGATTAGATAGGTTTACAAAGTGAATTTTTCTCTTCGATAAATGCCGTTCAGGATCGTTAATGCAGGTAAGAAACTACGTTTCGCGAGATCGAAAGACCCTCGTCTAACCAAGTTGTTTACGCCAGTTTCAAATATATAGTGGTACTCTCTCTAGCTCATCAGGAAACGATTTTTATCGAAGCCATGCGCGTTTGTGATTTTTATCATGTTTATAGAGATAGGCATTGTCTCTACTAAGATAAGATCGGCAACGACTTGAAAAGGCGACATTCGAGATCAGCATCTCTAGACAAATCACAATGTATATTTATATATAAAGTCAAATAAAAAGATTGCTAGGCTTTTGCATTCTTTACAACTTACTTGATTTACAGAACGACAGGGAAAGAAAAAGTTTTTTGCAGACTAACGCTAGCTTTTTACAACGAAAAACTGATCAGTTATAGTAAACAAACAACAACTGATTGATGACTCACATGCAAACGAATCGTTCCTTTTTTTTCGTCTGCGGAAGATGACTTAACTTACGTCTTAGAAAATTTGCTGTATTATGACATTCGATAATTTCAAATGTACCTATCAAGTAGGACAAGTCATCATTCGATATTTTTTGCATCCATGCTGCTTTCGTGAAATGATTAGTGAAATTAATATTAATTTTCTATCTTGTTTCTCATTTGACTTACGAAACGAGTTGTTGCAGGCCAGAGTGGCGGTAATTAGCGCGAAAAGCGGCAAAACATCAAAGCGAACCGAATGCAAACAAGATAATTTCTTTTACCTATGGAATTTTTCCGTACTGGATGATTTTTGCAATTGTGTTTTAGACCACATTTTTTGAAGTGACGGACTAAATTCACACACGAAACGAGTTGTTCCAGGCCAGAGTGACAGCAATTAGCGCGAAAACTAGCAACACATCAAACGGAGAAAACCGAATTATTAAGTCAGTAAAGCAGTCTAGGTATATTTTATAGAGCAGGACTCGGTTTTCCCGCGTTGTGTCAAGACAGTATTTTAAAGAGAATTAAATTGTCTAACCTTTGCTGTCTTGACTCAATCTCGTACAACCTCGTCTTCGTGCGGAAAACTCATGGAAACCATCTTTTATAGAAAAAAAGCCACCTTTTTTCAAATAAAAATTACAGTGGGAAACTTTATTTCTTTACTGTCATCGAATTCGCGCCTTTTCTGAGTAGGAAACACTGAAAAAAGAAAACAAAAACCGGAGGTTCGTATCGATGGGTTCCTCCGCTATCCGGACCCGGTTTCTCCGGTGACCGGAGGTGCCTCCGGAACCGGTGCATACCTAGCTATATTCAAGAGAATTTTCGAATAACCAGCTACCTTTTAATTTTTTTTGGCACGTGAAATATAGGGAAATGAAAGAAAGAAAACCAGGCTGCAAAAAAACACAAATATTGTGAATAGTGTTGTAGATGATGATGGAAAAAATCTTTGCTCGCGTTCTATCGTAAGAAAACATCGATTCTCTTTTCTTCTGATTTCTTTCTTTTTTCGTTCTCTTGCTCTTTTCCCTCGGTGTACTCTAATGAGGTAGCCAACAGTGTAGTATTTAACAGCGTAGGTGCTTTACCTAAATCTAATGTGAAACTAGGTGGAAATTACGCTACGCCAGACTTGCAAATGCGGTGCGAAGCAAATTACACGACTTAGTGTTTCGAAAAATGTGGCGAAAGTTAATGTGCGATAAGCAATGGTCATATATACTTCCCTGCAAACCAAACTGTTTACAAAATTGCTCTGGATTTTAATCTGGTTTTATTCATCTATTACATTGATAATGAACTGACTGACACTGTAATGGATAATCCATAAAACAATTCAGCAGTATACTAAAACAGGCGTTTATACGATGACGCATCTATTATCCTTTTTCTGAAAAAATTTTAAGTCCTCAATTTTCAGTCGACCTACTTTCGGACTCCATAGTAAGAGACAAAACGTCGTGTCAGTCTCAAAATAGTTTATTGTCTGTAAGACAAAACGCATTGAATATATTTTCTGATTCCTTTCTGCAATCGTAAGGCACACCTCTAACTTCAAGAAGAACCTTGCGCAAATTTTGTTATTTTTCTTCACGATTTTCTCGGTCTAAAAGTTCGAGAAGTGTTGACCTAGAGTTTTTGAGCGTTTTCTTATTCAAATTTCGATTTTCGAGATGGCAAATTAATCATATTTTCATGTTTTATTTATTTAATAATTATTTGATTATTGAGAACTTGTATTTTAACCAAGCAGAAATGTTTGATTGCAGTTTCAACAAAAACGGATATTTAAAACAAGAAAAAAAAATTTCGTTTGTGGTTTCTGTTATAAATATTTTCGAACAAAACGTTTTTTCAAAGCTTCTAGCCGCCTTAGGGAAAACCGGACTAGAGTTGATGCTTCTATAATATTTCTCATTTTGAATTGTCAAAGTTTAATGCTTAAACCTATCTCTTAATTAATCTGACTATATTTAATCGATGATACCCCTGATAAAAATTCTTTTTCACTGGTTGAGATCTTGAGTTCAAGAAACGCAACAAATTTTATCTTACAGCTCCAATAATCCATTAATCTCTCGAATCCATAACACTAAAAAGCACAACTCTTAGGTTGAAGGAAGCTCTCTCTGAAGAGCTTTGTTTGAAACACCGATTTCATCATGTTTTATCCGATTTTCTCTCAGGAACATGATGTTTAGAAAAATGCTTCTTATTTGAGACGGCTATGATAAAGTGGGCAGGATCATATCTCTCCACTCTCTCACTCGCTGAAACTGCTATGTACTTACAATAGTGTAGTTAATTAAAAAAGTCATTTGCTTTTTTTTATAATACTTCAACGAAAGATAATCTTCGAATAGTGCTTTAAAACTACAAAAAACCGAGTAAAATGAACTTCACTTTAGAAACAGGTTTTCCTGTTTCTAATGATAACAAGATTTTGCAGAATTTGTATAAACCCGATTCGCCATACACACAATATGTCTTCGAAATATGAAATTGTCTTGGGTGGTACTTGTTCATACGATGACCAGACTCGAAAATGCAAGCACGGCTGACGAGTAACAAATTTAACAAGAAAAACAAAAAGATGCAAAAACATTTTGTTCGAAAATTTAATCAAAAGTAAAGGAAAACCAGCCAAACAAAATCTGATAAATTTAAAAAGGTTTTTCAATAATAATTACTCAAACATTAGTATTTTGACAATGGCATTGTAGGAAATGTACCCAAAAAAATATTATTAGGAGCAATTGATTTATCAATTTTCTCTGCATAACTATCTTTCCAACTAGAATAACCCAAAATACAATATAAATTTCATTACTTAGTAACACA